TCTCCTTGCTGTTCTTTAGAACAAGTTTCAAATCGAGGCCAGTCCCTAGCCTCCTTGTGATGGGTCCAGTGCGGGGTCAAACGCACGGCCACGGAAAGGTGACCCCAGTAGCTGCAGCTCACTGTGGACACCCACCTCACTGTCTCAGCATCCTGCAGCATTCATCCCTGCAATCCTGCCGGCTCCCTTCAACACATCTGAAGACAGTTACAAACCAGCAATTCTTCCCTGATCCGAGACAAGACTTGTGTAGGAGCCTCTCTGCAGCTTCTCCTCTCCCAGCACAGATCATGTAGCTACTGGCCATGGACACAGTGTGTAACTACTCCCAGCCTCCAGGACCACCAGCATCTCTGTCCCTGCCATACGCTTAATTAACGCTGGGTGGGAGAAGCAACAGGGGCCTTGCTGCACCCTGCACGGGAGAGAACGTTTCACTTCAGCAGTTCTCACTCACGCAGTTAACCATTTCCTCGGCCTGCTCCCACAGCTGCTGCCCTTGGGCAGGGAGGGAAGGGCCTGGATTAGCGGTGCCAGGCAGCAGCCTGATGCACAGAACAGCCCTCCCCACCGCCTCTGTTCCAGCAGCACCCTGGGGCAGCTGTAGCCAAGACGTTGCAGATTATCGCTGCTCGGAGTTTTAAGGCTTTGTGGGTTAGACTGGAAACCCTGGGAAACAGGATGTGTTCAAACAGCACCTCGAACAATGAAGGAGCCTGGGCCAAGAGGAGGACTCGTGGGTATTCCTGGAAAACATCTACAGGAGATCCACATCCACCACACTCCTGTTACCTGCTGGCCCCGGCTTTTACCTGCAACACCCTGTCCAGGGCAGGGATGCCCCCGGCACCCCACACAACACAGCCCTACAACACAGCCCTACGCTGGCCGGCTGCACGGCACCAAACAACCCAGCACTCTGAAGGGAAAGCTGGGAGAAGAGGAATTTGCTAGGGCTACCCTCTGCTTTGCTGGTGCTTTACTTGGAGAGGATGACACCCCTCAGCGCCATGCAGAAATCCTCCCTTACCCCGGGAGCTATCTGCAGACAGGTTTTAGCCTCGTTCCCCGGGCCTGCAGCCATTTTAAAAGCCAGGTATGCAAGCAAACAGGCTTGTGGCTGTCAAGAGCAAGTGTCACTTGCCCAGCCTGCTCTCCTCCTCCTCTCAGGGCTCATGAGTAAGCATTAGCGCTTGGACCCTGGCTTGCAGCATGCTCCCCAGAAGCTGTGCAGCCTGGGCATCCCATGGCACATCTAACAGGCAAAACAAACCAGGGAAACAGCAAACCGCATCTTTCATTTCAAGCAGCCTAATACTGCCAAATTCACCCACACCTTTTTCTCCAGAGGTAAGCGTTGTCACTTCAGCACTCCCCTTCCTCCCCTCTTTTTTTCCAATCAATTCTATGTTTCTCCTCTCTGTTACCCCCCATTTCCTCTTTTACATCCAGTGCTTCATGTGCTGGGAAACGCTGTGCATTCCTAAACCCAGCTCCCCTTCCTGCAAAACCGAGAAATCGGAATGAGTGAGTACAAACCAGCCCTTTGCCAGCAGCCGGGTGGTTCTGAAGCTTGAAAACGGTGCTGCGTACATAGGTGTTCAGTAAACCAGCTCCCCAGCCACTCATCACAGAAAGGCAGAGACCGTGTGAGTCCTGCCTTGACCCCAAAGCCCCAACACTCCCAGCATCCCAGCAGAAACAACTCACAGCCTGCCCTAAAACCAGCGGCCAGGAGGTTTGTGTTGGTCCAGGATGAATGAACAAATGCCCGGAGAGCTGAGAAATAAAAATCCATGCAAGGGCTGTGGCGTAACGTGTGACACAGCACGTCTGTCCATTTGCTACGGAAACTATGTTTGGCAAGGATCAGGTGTCTGAATTTCTGCTTATGTACCTCTCCCAGGCCAGCAGCGTATTAATAACACAGGCAGCCTAAAAACAGCAACTGTCACCAAGAAAAGCTGCCCTTCTGCCGAGAGCTCCTTGCTGCAGCCTGGGTGGTGTCATCAGGCTTCACTCAAACGGCCAGAACTGTTCCCTTGCTTTTCAGATTTGCCAGCTATCTCAACTGAAGGAAGACCAACGAACAAAAGGAAGGGAAAAGAAAGTTACAGCAGGAAGCAAACCTTATTGTAAGCAGAGCTTTCTTGAACGTCTTCCCATCAAGGCTCGAGCTGCCATGCAAATACGGAGAGCAAGCAGCAACCAGGGTGCTGGCTTAAAGGCACGAACGTTTTCCGGCGATCTGTGGAAAGCCAAGTCCCCGGAAGCTCACGCGGCACGGCAGGCAGCATGAGAAGGCGGCACAGCGTCAAGCACAGAAGAAAGCAGGGAGCAGACACAGGCTCCCAGGCAGAGGCTGAACACCGGGCACAGGGAGGAGCACAGTAACAGAAGCAGAGTAGGAAGAAAGCAACTCCAGGTTCAAAATGGAAGCCAAAGGGTTGGAATGGGAAGCACAGGGGGGGAACTGTTCAAGCTTCGGTGAAGACGGAACTGCACTGGGTAAGTTACGCTAGGTAACTTTTTACGAGCAGCTCTAACTCAGCAGTGTTGGAAGGAGTACTCGTGGCAGCACCACGTGGGCATATGTGATGAAGATGCGTTCCAGGTTTCTCCCTTATTCTTAAACCATGTTAGAGGTGCGTTACTCACACCAGCGCAAGCCAGCCCCTCCAAACTGCCCGGATGAGACGGCTCCTTCGTAAACGCGGGAGCCCAGGAAACCTCACGCTCCGTTTGTCAGACAGCAGCGGCCTGAAGCGTGCTGCCCCCGTGTCCGACTGCACCCAGGAGGTTCAGCTGTGGGCAGGAGACACTGCAGCCCCATTTCTAGCTCATCCTGACCCAACAGCCATCCTTATTTGCACAACACAAAATTAGGAATATGGACTTCAAAAGAAAGCTCCATTCCGGACAGACACACCTTGCTTCTCTCCTGCTGCTCTCTGCTCTATGAAGTCAAGGTAGAAAAGTTTTTCAGAAGACCTTGCACGCCAGTTACTAACAGACAAACAACTTCTGCCAAGCACTCCGACCACATTCCTCTCGGACCTTAGCCGAGGATGTGTTTTCCAGGGTTTGAGGGGTAAACGCTGCCTGTTTCACATCCAGCAATGCACACAGAACACCTCTGCTAAAAGGCAAGGACTGTCAGCGACCAGCGGGCTGGCCAAGAGACCTCCCTAGCGCCCCTAAGATGACAAGCGCTTGACAGGAAGATGCATTCATCCAGTCGCTTCCCCGACAGTCCAGAGCAACAATGGAGAATGATCTAATTTAAGTCACCGAGAGAATGTCACTGCGATCGCACGATTATTCAAGTCATCAGGCCAGATAGGCCAGAATTAGCCCGGCCAATGGTTCAGATTTCTTCTCCTCTGCCAGGAGTCCGAGTCTTAAAATAACCAAGGAATTAGTGCCAGCCGCCTACCTGAGCCGCGTTGTTATCACCTGGGCTTTCCTCTGACCCCTTCTGCCAAGCCCGACCCACAGCCAACAGCGCAGCACTGGAGTGCGCTTCATCTCCCACTATAAAAGATCAAAGCTAAGTACGTGCTACAAACCCCAGCCTGGAATTTCTGCAGGATTCAGATCTGCAATAAACTGGTATGTTCAAGCAGGACTGGGTATCTGCAGTCAGCTATGACAGGTTACATCAGAACAGGAATAAACCTTGATGTACAACGAAAAGCTACACTCAATTCTCTGAACTCGTACTACTGGTGACAAAACCCTGCCTTCCATTCCCAGTTCCCCCACCCAGATGCTCACTGGGATGTGCTGATCACCCTCTGAAGTGTAAGATACCCTTGTGCCACACAGACAGCAGAGCTAAAACGCAGGGACAAGGTGCTGCAGGGCCCAAAGGACAACAGAACACAGCCCAGACCACCCCGCTTATGCTTTACGCATCTTCTCAGAAAGCCTTGCTCACTCCGAGAACAGCTCTATGTAAGAATTGCCACCACCTGCTCCTCTCCACAGTTCACCAAGGAGTGCCCCCGAAGGCAGCCACCCTCTCCAGGTCCTGAGTGTTTTCTGAAGGAGACAACGTGTTTATGGCACACAGAGCCCCAGAGAATTAGCGAGTTAGCTCTGCCCGAGCAGTCCCTGCACACCGGGCACCCCTGCAGAGTGACACGGCTGTTACACAAGCATGTGAGGGATGAAAGCGTAGCCGTGGCTCTGGCTAAGCCACCAGCCAGAGGAGCGGTCGCCCGACGTCCCCTGCAGCAGGGAACACTCTCAGACACAAATCTTTGGCCTGCAAAGGGAAAGGAATGGGAATCTTGAACACGAGTGACTTCAGCCATTTTCCTGACTCTTACCAACTTGCTACTCCCAGCCCCTTCCAAGCCCTCTCCAACCACTCCACGTCCTGGCAGAGGCCGAGTTTCCCAGGGTTGAGAGGCGCTGGCTTGCTCGGGCAGCACCTGCCCCAGAGAGCAGAGGCAGATCCTGACCGATTGCAAACAGGAGATGAACTTCAAGGTATGGCTTCCTTGGGGAAGAAACCTCTCACCCACGATTTGTGTAAACATGGGAGCACTCCTATGAAAACTAGGCGTTCCACTCACCAGAAGAACCACTACTGAGAGCCAACGCAGCTGGAAAATTGTTTTTTGTTTTTTTATAACCTGTCATTAATTATAAAAGTACAGCCCCCATCAGCAAGCGCCGAATGGACAGCCCCACGTTTTCTTCCCAAGCTGAGCGCCAGGGACAAGTTACAGAATTAACCGAGGGTTCTGGCACGGCTGTAGGCGCATCACAGCACGGGCACCTGGGAGCACAGTCGAGAACGTCTCCAAAGGCAGAAGCCCTGATGGCGAACCAGGAAAGGGAGGACTTGTGCACAGATTCCTTGCCCAGGAAAGACTGAAACAGTCTGGCCGTGACGACTCGAGCCAGGGAAGGTGAAGCACTAGAAGGCTCTTCACCACAGCCGTTTTTGAGTTGAGGAAAAACATGGCAACAGCCATATAATTTTAAGTCTATTTCTGTTTCTTCAGCTTTGATCTTTTCCTTGGCTGCTTCTTTGGTCTCTGCACAGCGTTGTTAACACTGGCAGGGGGCAGCTTGAGGGTTATTTCATTGTCCTCGGCGTCATCGTCCGCCTGGGAAGCTTTCCGGCGCTCGAGCACTGTCGGAGTACAGACTGGAGTAGGATCCTGAAGAGATCAGAAAAACACGACTCATTGCAAAGCATCTGCCAGAGAAAGCTGTCCCTGCCTCCGTGGCACCACACGGCCCCTCTGCCCAGCTCTCCTTCCAAACTTCAACACATTAGGGAAAATTGTTGTCTTTTTCTAACTACCTATTTTTGTAGACAGTATTTCTTCAGACAGAAGTGTCATCTTCAAAAAAGTGTACGTGAAAGGCAAATGTAAATTAATCCACGTTTTCTAACACGTCATTACGCACACTGGCTTTCCAAACTTTGTATTTCCTGACTCAAAGCACTAAGAAAGCAAAGAGGAAAATGACCCGAAAGGTGTATGTGAGTCTGCCATACAGAAACGCCACGCTCGAGCCCCCAGCAGAAATGTTAATACCTGACAGAATTTCAGACTGTCAGTGTCCCAGATCTCAGTCCTGATGGCCTGAGCTTTCCTTTCACCCTACGGATAGTTTCAGCTGGCATTAGTTTTCAAAACACTGGAACACCATTGCCTGGATTGCCTGGAGAGCGCGACAGAGGGACAGCACAGCATGCAAACGGGCACAGACCGCACTAGACCGCATCACCCCTTCAACTTCCTTCTGCCAAAGCGACTGGCATTACAGCGCAGCGCAGCCCCAAGAGCCGGACTGAAGCTCAGATGTAGGTGGAGTACAGGCGGGTGTCCTCAGCACCCGGCGTTGCTCCTGCCCGAGGGTAGTGCTAAATAGTGGAAGCACCGCTGCCTGGAGCCACCGCAGGACAAGCACTGCTAGTTACAACACGCTGCGTGGCCTCCGCGGCCAAATTCCCACAGGAGGAAGGACGGAGAGGACCCAACCACCCTCCCCTGTTCAAGAGTGCTAGTACATCTCAAAGGAGCAACTTTTGGCACAAAAATCTCTCAAGTAAATACTATCCAGGTTTCCAGGTGTTGACATCTATACCAGAGAAAAACCAATTGCACATCTGAAATGCCTCCCCCAGTGAGAATGGGGGTGATGTGAACAGGGGGACGTGAATGGCGGGGACATGAATGGTGGGGCACTGTGCTGGGCACTGCTAGGACTGTTCGGCCTTACCTGGCTGCTCAAAGAAATGTTAGGTTTTGACTTCTTGGATGGTTTGACTTTTCCTCTCTTTATGGAAAGCTCCTGTGCAGCCTGGGAAGCAAAAGGCAGATCAGGTGGATCACTACCAATTTCCTTGTGTGAAGGCACAGTCACTTAACAGTCGATAGGTTTTTTTGCTTTGTAACCACAAAATCTTTTCTACAGCAATTAGATTTGAATTAATAAAGTGACTTAAAGGGCTGCAGAGGTGATCTGGTTTAAACAAAAACACGCAAAGCAATGCACAAAAACTGCTACTGTGCATTTAAAAAAAATACCGCATTAAACAGCACTGCTTAAAGTTCAAGTACTTCACCCAAGCGCTCTGCAAACCAGCTTAGGCGAGGCCTAGGGATGGAAGCTCTAGTCTTGGGATCTGCCTTCAAATAACCCACCCTCCCAAGACCTCCCACAGGACAAAGTCCCTGAGGCTCTTCTGTGATCTACAGAGAAATATTAAAACCACAGAATATCTAACTGTTTACACTGTCAGAATCAGAATCACAGAATGGTTTGGTTTGGAAGGGACCTTAAAGACCATCTAGTTCCAACCCCCCTGCCACGGGCAGGGACACCTTCCACTAGACCAGGTTGCTCAAAGCCTCGTCCAGCCTGGCCTTGAAGACGGCTGGGGAAGAAAAGGAATGTCTTCCCTTTGCTGTTACTATTTCCTTCCCTAGAAGCAAACCCACACATACATATAGCACACCCAGCAACGCCACTACATGGATTTCCAGGAGCTTCTATACAGTCCTTAATGCTAGTAACTCCCCCGGTGCTCCAGCTCTTTTACTGGTTTCACACACGATTTTCCTCTATTTGGCACAGCCTTAATGCATGTTTTGGATAAAACACCCATCGAAACCACACCAAACTTACAAATCCTGGGAAGTCGTAATCGAGCCCCTTTTCAGCCAGCCTCTTCCGTAACAGCTTCTCCTTTCGCAGCAGTCGCTTTGTCATCTTTGCCTTCTGAACAAGTGAACGTATCTTGTTGTACCGCCTGACCGCTGGCAGAGACGGCTTCAGAAATATCCTGTTACTGTCCTTGAAGAGGTTTTCGTGGACCCTTTCGGGAGACATGAACTGACCTGCGTCGTAAACACGCGACACCAAGTTACAGCGGAGCCGCTCTCCTCGCCAAATGTGCTCACGTAACGCTGGTCGGTTGTCGGTGTGGCATTAGCCACTGCTACGGCAGAGCTCTAGTACAGCACTGTACGAACGGAAAGCAGCTAAACGAGTAAGAGAACTCATGATGGAAGAAAATAACACCTTTTCAGTTTCACCCAGAAAACACAGAAACGTGCTTTTCAAAAGGTGATGCCTACACATAGCTCATAATCCCTTACAAAGCCAGTGTTGCCATCACCACATCTGAGAAACTCGCTAAATTCATGACTCTTTTCATCAAAAAAGCCCCTTATGTCTAACTACACAGACTGCAGCTGCGACAGTCACAAATACTTCATTAAAAAAATACCAAAGAGTCTCCCAACAGTCAAAAAACCCCCCCAAGTTAATTACGAATTTCCGGCTCATACTTACACTTCAGCAGTCTTTCACAAAACAGGTAGTTGTTCATCGTGTCTGCGACAATCTTAGCCACGTCATCAGACTCAAATTCTATAAATCCGTAGCCTTTGCTACCTCCAGTCTGCAAGCAGTGACAGAAAGAAATCCGAAACCACACCTCGATACCTGAAGAACTACGCTAAAATTCTTTTATGCTTCCAAAGTCATAGACCATTCTCAGCTGAACACAAGTAGATTAATGAAAATCACCAGATTTACTTCACATTCTACCTTGAATTGGTGTATTCTGGCAATACGTCTTATGTGAGCGTGTTCAGTTACAAAAAACAGGGCTACGTTAACTGCCGCTGAAACTGCTTATCTGCAGCCAGAGTCCCAGAACGATGTGGGCTGGGAGCTTTGCAGATCCCCCAGTCCAGCCCCAGAGACGACGCCCCACAGGCGGTCTGTCGGCCTGGAACTCGTTTGGGACGTCGTTTCAGGACACGCCGTGACGCGGGGTGCCCCCATCTGCCCACTCAGGAAACTGCAACCAAGCGTTCCACGTGTTGCGCGACGGCGGCAGAGCCGCAGGCCGGCGGGCGACGGAGCCGGGGAAACC